GTGTGTGTTAGCACGTCTTTGTGTTTGTGTCTGGCAGCAGAGACATTTTCCCTTTCAGGAGGAAAAACAACAGGAATGAAAATTGAAGCCTGACTGAGGTTTTTTCCTGCTAAACGGATGTTAGGAGGATAAATATAAAACCTGGCTGTGGTTCATACACACACACACACACACACACAGTAAATTGGATTCAGTAGTCCATTAGCTACGAGATACTAAGTGGGCGCGAGTCCAGCAGCCAGACTGTGGTTTTAATGAGCGTTTTATTCTCATTCCTCTTGTGTTCAGCACGAAATAATCCACATTATTCTCTCGTCACTCACATTAGACACTTTAATTACCGACATTTTGAGTCGCAGTTTGTTTCTGTGGCGTGTTTGTTAATGAGCGAGCAGGTTTTTATACACCTGTTCAATTCAAATGCTAATGTTTCAAATGTTAAATTGAGTTATTTTAGGGTCACACAGAACTGCTAAATTTTATATTTTATTTTATTTATTTTTTTCACAAACATAAATTTTCATGAAGATGCTTAAAAGATAAAACAACATATATAGGCACAGAACTAAAAACTAGTGTTAGCAAAACGTTAGCTAACCAGGTAACTAACAGTTGATTAAAGCTAGTTAGTCAATTTACAGGTGGTATTTTCATGAGGCAAAGCTGTTTCTGTCGATGGTAAAAACTTGTATTTATATGGTAAAATATATAATAAAAGTCCAACTTTAACCATAAAATCTAAATCCTTAAGTTCTGTATCTATTACATTATTCTATTATCTATTATTATCTATTATTATTATTAAAGTTTTGTAAACCACAGCTGACAGTTTTTAATGTTAAAATAGTATTATTGTGCTAATGAAAGTAAGTGTTATTAATTCTTAATGAAACAATCAGATTTAATGTGGTTAATTAGACTCTTTCAAACTACGTTTATACACAAAGACACACTGCAGCATCTACAGTTTACGGGTCAGAGGTCAAATAGTTGCTGATGATCTTTAAGCCATTAAAATTACTTTAAGCATACTTATTTATTTAATAAAAACATAACCGTCGTTCTACCTAAAACTCATCTGAGTGGACGGTTTCATTGTCAGTGTAGTTACTGTGGTTGGCCTCTGGAGGGCAGTGTGGGATCATTATTATGGGATAGACGCTCAGCTGTTGAGCCCAGAGAGGTTAATATTCCAGTTTGACATAACTTCAGACTACAGCAGAGACATAATGAGCTCTGTCCTCAGTTATTTATTAGTTTCTTTTATGCTCCTTTTCATAAGTAATGTAATATTTCTCCGTTCACTGTCTGTGTGTTATTGAGGATTTTGGGATCTGGTTGATCTTTTATATGGGACATTAATCATGATTCACTTGTATGGAAATGTAGACAATACTAAATTATCATCCCGCACTAATAAGAGCCAGTAGACTCATTAATAATTCATTTAGAATATGAATGAACTGACAGATTCTCCCCCAGGAGCTCGTTCTTAATAGGATGAATAGTCGAGATGTAATTGACGGCCTCCTGAAGTGATCCCGGCCTCTCGGGGGCTCCGGACGCGTGCCGGAGGAGGGAAGCTTTCTGTCGGTGCGGCGGATAATTTTCCCGACCAGTGGGGGCTGCTGGCGCCGTGCCGCGCTCAGACGACCCGCAGCTTTTGCAGAGGAGGACAGCTGCTGGCGGATCGAACCCACATCGCCACGTCCATTTTGGACATTTTCTTGGCCTTTTCCAGCAGAGTCGCTGATGTGAAACATCAAAGGTAATCGACAGGATTTGGTGTCTGTCCGTGTGGAGAGGGAGGCCAAAATCACACAGAAGGCAGGAGTCCATCAGAGAGGAGGAATCAATTCTACAGCAGGAAATAACCCAGGATGCTTTGCAGCTGAACAGCAGAAGAAACAGCCAGTATGTAGTGTTTGTAAAGACACCATCTGGGATCAAAAAGTACATTTTATTTTATTTTTTAGGCACTCTACACATCTGTGTGACACTAAACAACACGAATATAAACAGACATGAAGGAATCGACTGCAGGACGAGCAACAACACGCTGGTTTCACTAAGAAAAGGTTCATCGGGAGGAACTGGAAAATGCTGCTTTTATCCGAGAGCTCAGGAGGTTGCGCTACCTTCCCGCCTGTCTTCACAAACCACTAACCCTAGCATTAAACCTCACTGACCTATTTAATTACAAGTCAACGAACATTACCAGCACCGTGAATCCCTCACTAAGTTTCTATGGAGAAACTAAAACCTCGACTTCAGTTCGGCCGACCTTTCAACCCGACGCAGCCGTCCCTGTGGAGTCGATTGGTTCATGCTTGTCACATGACCTGTGGTGCGTTTGCTGGGCTCTGAAACGATTAGACTTTCCATCTCGAAAAACAGCCGACGAGCGTGGATTCAACAAATGGGGGCACTGCGGGTGGTAGGTGGTTAGACCACCAGGTATCTGGTCCGAACTGTAACCACATGTCGAAGCTACAGCGGCTACAGAGATAGCATGTGGGGACAATGAGAGCTGTGATTGGTCAGCTTGGACATTAAAGACTGTTTTTCCATCTTATGTTTGGATATGAACGTTGATTTAGTTGAACCAGGTCCTAATTACCATGGTAACCAAACAGTTAGCATAGGTATGTGAGTATTGTGACCCCAACATCACTCACTGAGTGATACTGGAATTACAAATTGGTGTTAATTACTGAGCTTTGTATGTTTGCCAACGTTTTGCTGACCCGCTCACTGTTTGTTTGTGCTCTCTGCAACATAATCTCCCAGCATGCAGCATCAATAAGTCTGACACAATCTTCTCTAATCTGCTGGTTATTGTCCTGAAATGTGACTGTGATCAGAATCTCTGTGGCTGATGGAGACGTTTTATGTGTCTGCAGGTCTGTGCTTACAAGTGAAGCTGCAGCGATGTTTGCCATTTAAACACAAGGTGAGTACGAAAACGACTACTGTAACCCTTTAAAAACACATTTCCTCAGATAACTTCCAGTGGGGGGCGTCGCCAAGGTCTTGCTCATGG